AAATAAACATTTCTTTCTTTATTATTATTTTTTTTATTTAAAATAAATTTCTGTATTTTTTTTCTTCAATAACAATAAAATAAAATGATATCTTTATTTAAAGATGTATGATAATTATAAATGAGTTCTTTTAAATAAAAAATTGTTTATTTCACAAATTAAAATAAATTAAGTAAATGTTCTAATAATTTATATTTATTTTTAATTCGATTTAGTTATAAGCTCAGAATTATTTGTCATAAAACCTAAGAATAATATCTTAAATCGACGAGAGACCTATCATTTACATCCCTTATAAATAAGTATTGCTGTTACTAATTATTAATGTAACAAATATATGTTAGAATATTTATTTGATACAATAGTTCTACATAGTTTCATAAACATAAACCAACATATTCAAAATCAATGTAATAAAGTATCTCCTAAAGTATATTCTTTGAGAGCTTACTAACTTTTTATAACATTACCTACAGCGGTATTCTTAACTCTCCTTCCCCCTTCTCTCTTTTTTACTACGGAATTCTAATTCATCATTATTCTTCTTTCACTGAGTCCGAAGAGTAACTTAAATGGGCGAAAGACTTGCAGTCCTCACTCTGAGCGCGAAGCAAGCTGGTGATAGTCTTAGCCGTAAGAAACCGCGAAATAGTATACGAAAAAATAGGAAGGTAAACATGCAAAAGCACTCAGATATACATATCCTTCTGCAATTTCTTTTCATTGACTTTCAAGTGCTTTCTATTAGCATAAACGAATATATAATTGCATATTAGTGTAAGAAGATCTTTGGTAAATTAAGTGAGTAAATACGTAGAATTTGATCTATGTTAGTTTTGTAAATATGTATTTCAATTAAATAATATCCAATCATGAAATGATTTAGAATCTATAGAAAACAATTACTTAGTTGATATATTTTACAATATTTCGTAAACAGTAATTCAACCTTTTTACATTTATATATAAAGTATATAAAAAAATAATATATAACAAAGTAACAAACACTATATAAAAAACTATATAGAACAAAAACACTATATAGAAAGTTATCATTGTTATTATATTAAAATGTAGAAACTATAGACTTTATAAAGTTAAGTATTTATTTTATTCTAAAACAAAACTTATTAAATAATTTTGAAACGTCTGATTTCACTGTTTTTTTTCATTTATATAAATTATTTTCTATATACAATTATAACAAAGCATATGATTTTTTAACTACTTAAATATTATAAAATAGATTTTCAAACATTATATTAAATGTTGTTTTTCATTGAATAATCATTATCTTAAATTCATTGTAACTCTTGAAACAATAAATTATTACATTTACGTAAACATTGTTTTAAATTCTTTTTATTTTAATCACTTACAAGTAAATATTGGTTTATATAGAATAAATTTTATAATTAATATTTTTTTCTTGTATATATTCTTTATTATCGTATATTGAAATGACTACATTTTTCATTTAAATTCTTTAAGGTCGAAAAAATTAAATAATAATATGTTTAAAATATTCGATATCGCTTGTAATACATATTTAATGAATTTTTCATATTATATCAAAAACATTGATTCAAATGTAAAATATTTAATGAAATTAATAATTTATATTTAGTTTATTAAATTCTATATTTTCAAGTATTACATAAAACTATGAATTTAAATACGTAAATATTTTATTTAAAAATAAGTAAAGCATATTATTATTAAAGCTTCATTCTTATCAAGGTTTACTGCCTGGAATAAATTTAAATTGATTAAATTATTAATACATATATCTATATATTTATTTATATTGAAAATATCAAAATATAATAAAAATGTATAAAATATAATAATAACATATATATATATATATATATATATATATATATATATATATATATAAATATTATTATTATTATTATTATTATTATTATAAAGAATTTCTACTTATTGTTTTTAAATTTTTCCGTATGAATGATACTAACTTAATAAGTTTTAATGAATCATATAAAATAGATTAAAGAATTTTTTTTATAGAATACTAATTTTTAAAAATATAATAAATCACATTTTGCAAACATATTTGTAATATATTAACAACCTTCATTTTTCAAATTCAATGAAGTTTAGCTTAATTATATAATCCAATTTTTAAATCACGTTAATGACAATAAAAATTTTAAGTCATTTGTTATACAAAAACAATTATTTGTAACAAATATAATTTGATTATTTATAATATTTATAATACCTGAATATTTATCATATATATTTTTTTTTTTTAATTAATTATATATTATTTAAAAGTTTAGTTAGTATCTTAATAAATAACATCGAAAGATTTTCTATTCTATTAATAGTATAAAAAATTTGATTTTATAATATTTATAACCGAATTTCTCGTATATTTTATAATTTTTAGTATAAATAATTTCTATTCCTATCCGATACTTGAACTATACAATTTACAACTACACATTTGTAAAATCTAAATGTTTGATCATTTAATTATATTGACAGATGTTTTGTGTAATTTCATTTTGTAAATACTAATATTTTCATTCGTCGTTTTATATTATGTTTTTGCAATATAATAGGTATCATATTTAATGTGTATAATAAATAAATATTATTTATGTATAAAATACAGAATTATAGTTACTGTAATTATGTATTTATTTAACAAATGTAATAGATATCGAATACACAAATTTTATTTTTAAAATTCTATAAATATTTTATATCGTTTCAACTGAAAATAGAAATTTTTTATCTGATAGCAATATTTTCATTCATAAATATAGGTAACAGAAAATAGATTTTATAATTAAAAAGAAATAACTTCAAAGAAGTTTAAAATTCATAAGATATACAAAGATAAATAAATAGCCTAGTTCTCACATTTCTTAAGTTTTAAAACATAAAATAACTTTATTAACAATGAATGTATTATTATTGTATTCTTCTTATATTATATTCTATGGAGATGTGTATGAAGATAAAAACTGGCAAACACCTTATAAAAAGTATATATATTTGCATTTACAATTTATTATTCTATAAATATAAATTTTTAAGCAAAGTATTTTACAATTTTATAAATATAATAAATTTTATAATTACAGATATTTATTAGAGTGTAATTAATAGATTATTTGTTGCGTTGCAAATAAAAATCATTCGAAAAATCCTGCATAATGTATATAATTTTCTATCTTTTTCTATAATATATAGTGTGACATGCAATCTAGATAGTTTAGAGAAACTAATTTAAATAATCAATAGTCAAAATTAATAGATAAAAACGAAAAATGCATGTGTAATAATATATGAATGAAAAATGAGTAGCAAAATATTAGTTATTTATATATTTACAATTGTTAAGAATATTCTCAGTAATATTCAAATAAATCCATTTGCCATAGCGATACGAACACAATTTCCATTTATTAGAAAATATGAAATTCAATGAATGAGATTGGTTTTGATTCGTTTACTTAAGTGCGCACCGTTATTTATTTGGTATGCTCATGGGAAATGTTCAAGTATAACAAGAGACCAACGGATGCTACTTCAAGCGAAGAATTGTATAAAATAGTGGTATTTTACTGTATATATTGATAGTTCTTATGTTTACTATATAAATTTTTATATGGAACAAATGAAATAGAAACAAAGTTCATCATTTTTGTATGTAGACAAATTTTTATCATAGATCTAGAAACATATACAGCTATATTTTAAGAATTCATTAAATTTGTCTAACATTGTTTTTAATTTATTGTATATAATACATATTTATGAAATATAAAATAGGTTAATATATTTTACACAGTATTGTAATAAAAACTCTCGATATTTCTAATAAATTGTATAAAAATTATTGCAATAACTATCAGCTTAACACCTTTGTTAGTAAATTAAATTAAAATGTAAAGGTGAGAGATGAAGATATAGGAAGTGGAATTTAAAAATATGCATGTATAAGCATATAAAATAAATGATCTTATTAATAATCATTTATTTAATCAATACTATATATAAATAATAAAACGAATTATAGATATCTGTTTTTTGCTAAATTTTCAACCAAATTAATATGATTTTCTTATACTACTTAAAACTTATAGTAGGATAAAAAAACATATTTCCAATAAGAGCAATAATAAATACTTCATTAAATATTAAAATAAATATAATTACAATAAATATTTTATGAATTTTTAATTTTTCATTAATTATTTGTAATAATTCGTGAATTTCTATTTTTGGTCATTGAAACGATTAATAAGTAAATATATATATACGCAATATAAGAAACAAATAACTTTGTATACACACCATCTTTATTTTTTCGGCAAAGAAAAGTAACAAAATATGAAAACTAGGTCACCATCCTTGTGCAATAGGTCGTACAGTTACTTTAGAGTTGCAGAAAAAATTGCACCTGCAATAGAAAAGTAATGTGGTTTGTCCAAATTGACATTTTATTTAAAATTATATGTTTTATAGAAAACGATAATGTATAAATAAAACTACTTTTATATGCATAATTAAATAAGAAAATTAGAAAAATTAACATTATGAAACGAACATTATGGAATATTAAGTGTGAATTAATAAATCATATATAATATTTTTATATCAATGTTTCCAGTATTTTGTGTTTATTCTGATTTCTCTGATGGCATATTATAATAGAATATTTTTCAATATTTTTAATTATCAGTGAAAATATATTTGTAAGTTAATTAATCATTTCGATTTTGATATTCCAATTTGAATTTTATATAATACTTTGTTCACAAAAAGTAATATTATTTTTTTTATAATTCTACTTTATAATACTTCTCAGTTTGATAATTATAAGTGATCGTGTTATGTATTGATTTAATCAATTACAGAATTAAAAAGTGTGCTCTTAAAAGTTGTTAAAAAAGGTATTCACAAAGGATATTTAGAAGAATTCTGATTCCATTGAGTGAATTTATTTTGTGAAAAAAAGAAAAAGAATAAAAATAACGAAAAAATGAGTAGAAAAGCGATGCCTTTGATGGAACTCAATACTTGCGAACGAATAAGGCCAGAAAGACCACGAAATACAATTCAAAAACTTGTGTGGATGCCTAGCTCCCAATTTCACTTAGATTTTGTTGGTATTTGTGAAGATGAAGGCTTGAATCCACGAACTGCATTGAGAAGGTAACTACCTATCTTCTATAATTTAATGATACTGCAAAAAAATTATATCCAGACATATTATTTTACTTAAATTTATTTGAATATATGAATTGAATGGAATAATATTTAAAGATAATTATTTAATAATTCTGATATGATTCTAATTTTATATGTTTATATTTAATTTTGTTTATATGATTCTAGAGAAAGCATTTATTTATTAATTGTTTATTTATCAGTGTTAATATATTAATTATAATTTTTTTATATGTATACTTTTGTTACGTGTATAAAATTTGTTGTTTGTAATTTAAATTAACTGTTATAGAATTTTGGTAATTTTACTGGATTACATTATTTTTAAGCAATGTACAAAATAAACTACTTACCTATATATATATATATATATATATATATATATATATACAATAAAAACTATATTAAATTGCAGTAGTATATACAAATCTCGTCCTATAGTTTATTATATACGATTCACTTAAAACACATAACTGAAACACTAATAATCGATTATATTATATATCAAAAGTTTATATTTTAAAAGCATATAAGAAATGTGCTTTAAAATAAAATTAATATTTTCAATATATCATATTTTATTTGATAATAATGATATATTTATTATTCAATACATTTTATTAAGATCACTTTACTTTATAATTTAATATTCTAGTAGCTTAATATATTATAAATAATTTACAATATATTAATACGTATCACATCATAATAATATCGGTATGATCTTAATTTGTTTAAGTATTTGCATATATCTAATATTGAATATTAAATACATTTTTACCATTATTAAATGTAAATTTTTTTTACATTATAAATTATATTACGATGTATATTTACATTAGATTTTGCATTAAAATGAGATTTTAGTTATGAATAAGTTTTAAATTCACTTTAAATATGCTAATTTTAAAACATAATGAAACGATATTCCTAAAATTTATTTAACTTAATATGAATTGAAAATAAGATATGTACGTTTTAGATTTTTATTTTCATTGTGCGGCCATTTCAATCACTGCATTAGCTTTGTAAATTTATAAAATTCAATAAATAATAAATAAATAAAGAAAAAGTCGAAATACAATAAAGCTATCTTTCTACACATGTACCACTACATTTGATTAAGAAAGCTCATCAAAAGTTTAGCAATTCATGTTAGTCTCGAATACAAATATCATCCGCTCTGTCGCTCTCTCCTCATTCAGTCCCCTCGTTATTTGGGCTTTCCGAAATTTATAGACTTCTCAGACTTTACGAAGGCTGTCACTATCACGAAGCAGCAGGTTTCCTTATGCGCTTGCCAAACTACACGCTAAGGGCAACCTTCTCGGACATTCCTATAGATTTGCTAATCGAAACACTACCACACAGTCTCGTTCTCCTGGAAGCTTTGTATGTAAGACTGATAGAGCTAGGTGTGCGTGACACCAAAGTCTTGAGGCTGGAACAGCTTCTATGGAAAATTGTGGGACTTATGTCAACTGTTCAGAATTCATTCAATTTAAAAGCATGGGCAAGACTCTTAACTATCCTGCACAGGTAGAAAATAATAATTAAATTGTAATATTTACATTATCAATAAATTTTTTTAATTCTTTAGATGCTTATAAAAAACTTTAACAGTTGATAAATTGATTTCTAATTCTCATTAGTAACTTAATTAATAAAAAAATTGCTGTAGTCATATTGTCAAAATGAATTAAAAGAACTCAATTGTTTTCATTTTATTAAACAGTATTCTATATTTTTGCTTATAGATCATTATTTTATTCGATTTTTTACCTATTCAGAATTACCTAACACAATAATTTACAGACATAATTATATCTATTTTACACTAATATTTTAATAATGTACATATTTATGATATCCAACAGGGCAGCACCAAGCATTCGGGCTGTTTTAATTTACAGGTGGCGAGCTTTAGAACAAGCTATCGAAGGGCTTGGTAAACACGGACTCATATTAAGTAAGCCTAAAAGTAGCGCTAGCGATACATCCACTAATAACGGTAATGCTACATCGAACTTAGTGCCCCTCAGAGTCGCGCTTAGAGAGGAGTTAGAAATGCGCTCAGAAGCATGTAAGCATGCACTTCACAAAATTGAGAATCTTGAGAAACATGCAGGTGTGCATAAAGGTAAGTAAAATGTACTCATCGTACAGCTAATTACCTATGCTTTAAAATTTAGGCATTAAATCCTTACGTGAATCGATCTAAGTCAAGAACCTACTATCAGCAAAATTTAATAACTAATGCTCATATATTGAAATAACTACTACTACACTTGCATTCTAATTAATCTTATATTAACATAATATATATTATAATATATAATGTACAATAACGCAAAATATATTAACAATGTACTCAAAAAATATTTATAAGATTTATATTGATATATTTATATATATATATATATATATATATATATATATATAATATTGTGTGCCTGTGAATAACTATTTAACATTCTTGAATGTAAAACAACAGCATTTATCACATCAACAGAAATATCAATATAAAATTAATTTTATACAAAATAAACTAAGATTTATATAAATATTAAACATAAAAAATGTATAGAATTAAATAAATTAAAAAATTATAAGCAGCCATTACATTCATACTCAGAATATATTTATTATGTTATTATTTACTTATGCTATCTAAATATTTTTTATTCTCGTATCTTTTAGTATTTATTTTATGCTTTTCAAATATATATAAATTTATAAACAGATATTATTGTTATAATATTGTTAAAAAAAAAACATTAATTTAATTAAATTAATAAGAGCAAATCAAAGAATAATTTAATTTTGAATTTTCTATTAGTTTTGAAATTAAAATTTAAAAAACTAATATTATGAATTAGTTATAAAAAAATTCGGTTTATGTAATAATAATTTAAAAAGAAAACATTATAAATATATATTAATTAAAAATTTGAAAAATATTAAAATCTTATTTATATTTTTTTAATATGATACAACGGCCCATATTATTTAACGGGATCTCCCTTGAAATTTCATTTCATGATCAAAAATAGGAATTTCAAAGCGTACAGCAGTACGGGAATGCTAATCGACCCATTTGAACTTGCTAATTTCTTGGTCAATCTTCAATTCGCCCATTTGTCAGACTCTCATCACAACATCGAATATTCTTGTTTGTAGGAGATCAAGGCATGCACGCAGCTTCTCATCAACGTCAGCTGTCCCTTAAGTATTACGAAGTGCAACAGCGTCTAATCGACAATCAAGGGCTCCTAAATATATTGGAGAAAACTCGAGGTGAGCATCTCGACCTGTTATTGAAGGAACTTAAATCACGGGTTGAACAAGATAAGGAAGCATTGAGACAGTGGACCGCGCTTCACAAGATAATAGCAGCACAGGAGATCAGCATTACTAATGCCAAGAATCCACCACCCCTTGCTACCAGATTACTAGAGTTCTCGAGGGGCTGCGCAGTAGCGCTACAGCTTATGAACGGTGACGGCACAGTGGTAAGTTAAATCATGGCTGTAAGCACTCATTGTACCAAGTAATACTTGGATCACTTTAGAAAAACGATTATTAATTTTAAATATTTCATTCCATTATATTTTACATTTCATATTATATATATACATTTTATATTACATCGATAATTCCTAATAGAAGTATAGTTTTTGTATTTAATATAAAAACTCTAAAAAATAACTATTTGTTTACAGGTTGTTTAAATATTGAAAAACTATTGATATTAATAATGCTCTAAAAGTTACTTATTTTCTAGAATTATTTTAATTTTTATTTCATATATATTTGTATATATTTATTATAGTAACAGTTATATAGGTAATATTTTATCCTATATCATATATCATATATATATATATATATATATATATATGATATATGATGATATATTATCTATATTTAACTGTTACTATACAAAATATATACAATTACAAATTAAATGATCTCTATAAATAAAGTTATTCAATATATTCGACAAATAAACAACAAATATAATAATGAAAATAAAGATATAATAATTGAATTTACCATCTTTAATACTGCTTGTAAACAATACAAATATAAACTTTAAATAAATTTAATACATATTTATGAATTATTCTATATAAAATAAGAAATAAGTTTTTCAAACAACTATTATTTCACTTAAAAATTAAAAATTGCTCGTATACTGGAATGTAATTCTCTCTCTCTCTCTCTCTCTCACTCTCTCTCTGCCAATTCATTCTCGAATATACATACTCTTAATTTTATATTTTCCTGTATTTATCTCATGTGTATAACATTCTTTTTTTGTTTTTGTATGTAAAGTTTCTCATTACTTAACTTTCTTGTTCTAATATATGTACATTCAAAAACGGCGCATTTAACAACAATTCTATAATATTTCTCTTTTTTTTTAATTTTACAGTTCAGTATATTAGTTTGAAATTTTTCAATAATTTAATCAATATTAAAATCATACAGGCGCTTAAAAGTTGAAATTATTAGATTAATTATAAATCATATGCATACAGTATTCTATAATTCGATATGTACATTAGGTGAGAGGAGATATGTAAATGTGAAAGCATACACATATTTGATAAATATACAATATTTTATTACTTCTCGAATAATATAAGTGAATTTGAGTAAGCATATAACACATGCAATAAAATTAATCATAAATAAAACAAACCATAATTTAAAATAAAATCCGAATTTTACATTATACAGGTTCATTATAAAATTAATATTATCATGTGTAAATAAGTAGTTGAATATTTTATAAAATATATAGGAAATATGTTAAGGATAATAAGTATTATTTAATTGAATAATATGAGTTGCATCGTATCGTTGAAAAAAAAGTTCTTTTAGTGTATCATTATAATGCAAAGATTAGAAATTAGAACACCGTACGTGACAGGATTGTGTTGATCCCTTCTGCCGCTCTACTTGCTATCAAATTGCGTTACCTACAGTTTGAAGTTGCCCTGATAAGTCGACGGTCTTTAAAGATGATGCACATTAGATATATATATATATATATATATATATATATATATATATATATAATTAGTATATTTAGAGTCACCCTAGTAAATAAATAAAAGAAAATATTTGTTTCCTGAAATAATAAATCTAAAAGTCATTTCTAATTATTTTCAATCTCGAACTATTTATAGACCATGTTTCCTCATTCGCTTTATAGAATTTCTTTATTCCCCCTTCCAATCCTTTACTCCCTCTCTCGCCAATATTCATTCTTTCTCTCTCTTTCTTTACATAAACATTTTGCTCATACGCACTAATGACTCATATACTCATTATTTTATCATAATTTGTGTTGATTAACGTTTTTGTCGTTACGTTTAATGGTTTATTATTATTATTATTATTATTATTATTATTATTATTATTATTATTATTATTATTATTGATATCTTGTTGTTTATAAATTTACGATCTATGGCTGTATTATAACAATAATCTATTATTTGATAAATATGAATGAAATCTAGTATAAAATTATTAATATATGAAAATATATATAAATAATAATTTGACAAGATATGAAAGCCTGTGATTGTATAAATTAAATAACAGAATAAATAAAATTTTGAATTACAACATAACAAATACCAGTAGAATATAATTTAATATAATAGGGTTATTTACAGAATTCATTTGATAAACTTGTGGTAATCACGTACAAAAGCAACACGAGACAAAATATATTCTTGAATGGACATATTAAATAATGTTTGAGATAAAAAAGTAATTATTCCTTCGAAATTAAAAATAAGTTAAAAATTTATGTAAGTATATAAAATAATATTATTGTTGAATTTAGTTGGTTTGTAAAAAAATATTTTATTTGAAAAACTACAAAGACCATATATAAAACATTTTTGTAAGTGCAAGAGTATATTTAAATTTGAATATGTTGAATGGATCAAAGGAATTCTGTAGTACATGATACTTAAAAAATATATAATACTTAAAAAATTTTGAGATATTACTTGATTTATCAATTGAAAAAATCGCAAATAACAACTACCTGTCTTTTTACCTTCGTCATATGAATCTTTTTATTATATACCTACTTATATGAATCTTGCCCTTCAGAGGATGAAATAAAAGTACAATTATTTGTTTTATATTAAATCGTTGACCAGAAGTCAAGGAAAAATTAAAATTACTCTACTTGTTGGAAAAAGAACACAAATTATAATAAAATACTGAGCTTATAGATCATTAGTAAATATGAGAAAAGTGTATATGTAAGAGAAAGAAAAAGAGCGAGTATCGGCGAGAGAGAGAGAGAGAGAGAGAGAGAAAGAGAAAGTGAAGGATTGGAAAAGGAAATAAAGAAATTCTAGTTAGTGAATGAGGAATAATAGAAATATAATCAATGAGATTATTATAACATATATTGATAATAAAAATAAAACCAATATCTTATTATCTATATTTTATCTTATATTTAAAAATCGTAATCTGTTTTCATTTCTGGATCAAGGATCTAAATAATCCATTTAATATAAATAACTACGATGACGATGAAGAAGAGGAAGCATCTTCAAGTAGTGCCGGCTATCACACTGATGAAAGCTGCAGTCCATCACCTGAATCAGGTTCCAATTGCATCACGGATGAAGCACTTCAGGGTTTGCCCTGTTCAGATGTTGAAGCTGAACAGCTACGCGAGAGATATGCTCTTTTATACTCTCAGGGGAATCTCCACACTCTTGATGCTTTGAATAACCTCGAGCCACTCAAAAATGCTTTCGAACTTAAACTAAAGATCCTATATTCAGTTGTTATTGTAAGTTTTTTTATTTTATTTTATTTGAGTCATATCATTCTATTTATTCTTCATACTATCTGGAATAGGTATAAAACATATGAAACATAATTCTACATATTTATAACATTTAACAAAATTTAATTATCAATTAATGAACTTATATATTTCAACATTTTTAAATGAAACTTTTTAAAAATAATTTTAAAGTATGTTAATCTAACATTAATAATTATATTTAAAAATTTATCGTTCAGAATATAAATCAGTTTTTCAGTGATACATAAAAAATAACACACACACACACACATATATATATATATATAATTGATTTTAAAGTATTAAATTCAAATATCAAATATATATAATAATCTTCATGCAGCATATGACATTAAATATATTAAACATCTATATAAGAGCATAATATTACTTATTAATTTTATAGTATTTTATATAAAATAAAATACCTTCATAAAATTCCTTAATATATATTATATCTTTTTATTTTTTTATAAAACGTACTTTAGGAAAGCTTAATATAATATATTATACTGTATATTGTGTAAAAAGAATTTAGCTTATACTGATTTGTGATCAGTAATTTAATTTTAGAATAACGTATATTATAAGTATACCACTTGCATAAAAGTTCTTTCAAATTATATCTTAAATTGATTTATCATATTTCTTCTTAATATATAATTATTTGGAAACTATACTATTATTCTTTGATTTCTATTTGGTTCTAAAAACTTTTCATAAATTTTTCATAATTGTAAGTTACCGTAGTATTTTAAAAGCGAAATTAATTTAATAAATAATTATTTAATAAAAGTTTTCTTTTAAGTATTATATTATTGAATCGATTAAGTAGTTTTAATGTTTATTATAAATAATTAGATAGATTTTGAATCATTATTATTTTTCGAGTATTGCAATTAATTATATAAGAAACTTGAAGTAAAATGTTGTATTTATTTTATAAGATTTCAAAATTTTGAAATGTCAAATAAAATAATAAAATCAACAAATAAAGATATAATGATGTACAGCTATATATATACATCTGTGCTTAATAAAATATTTACACATTTATTTCTTAAGTGAATATAATTGTCGTTTACTAAGTAATAAATTAATAATAATAATAAATTTTGTTGTATAAAATTAGAATTACATATAGTTAAAAAATAAATTTGTAGGTTGTAATGTGATACTAATACTAATTTATTTAGATACAGATACAGGAATATGAACTAATAAGATATTATATTTCAATTTATATTTTAGTTAAAAAACATATAATTGTAATTAAATTTATTATCTTTACATATCTAATTACCTTAATTAAATTTTAATTATGTGTTTTTATTATTTTGTTGGTTTATTATAGCAATGGAATTGTATCCTTTGTTTTTTATAATCACTTATATTACTTACATTACTTTAACAAATACATTAAAACGCTTAGACTAACATTAAGTTTTCCCTTGATTTTAATATTTATATTATAAACATTTAAATATTATAATTTCAAATGTTATTACTAAAATTCTTTATTCTTTCTTTTCATAATAATATAGGCAGTGATTTGAAAAATGATAATATTATTCTTATATAATTTGATATTTTTAGTGACTGAATAACCTTACTAATATTTGTAAGTGATTAAAATAATACTATCTTAAATTATGAATGTAATTTTAATGTATTAATAATGAAAAAAATATTGCATATGATTTTTGAACGGGCTTTCAACAAAATTTAAAATGTAATACAGATAAGGCAGGTTCTTATATTTACAATTTTCATGTATACTTGCTTTGCTTAAGTGATTAATTGTAAAGTATACTTCAGCCTATAGTGAAATTGTTACCTGAAATATAAACAAATTTCTAATTTATGTTCATTATACTACATTTTGAATCAGAAGTACCTAATTTTTCCATAAATGGAATTAAAACAATAAATATGTAATTTAATAAATATTTTTATTGGCGTTTAATTAAAAATAAACGATAATTGAATATTACTTAAAAGAATAATAAATTATTATTCTAAATTTAAAATTTTAATTTTGGCATAATAAAGTAGATGATATATAATGTACATAATTTAGTGTATATAAAAAATTCATTTTACGCAATTATTTAACTGCAATAAATTAGGAAGATTAAAATAGATGTAAATTATAATTTATTATTAATATTTGTGATTATAAGCATTTATATATATATACATATATTGGAAGTTCTATTAAAAAATTTATATTAATGAATATAAATAAATTCATGGAGAATGCAGTAAATTTATTACTGAAATGTAATGAATCATAATATGTGTAATTTCCAATATAGAAAAACTTAAGATAATAAATACTTTATATATAGAAATGTAAATAAATAAATAAATATATAATTTTATTATTATCATTGTATAAAATGAAAGAATATGCAATGAATATTTTTTTAATAATAAATATAAGGTACCTATAATAATGTAAATATATCAATTTATTCCCTTTATCATAAACTGTACATATTAATATATGTATATATAGATTTAAATTTATATACCTTGTAACGAATATATATTAAGATAATAACGTTATATATATTAAGATAATAACTTGGAATATATTATAATCTACTTAAAGGTCACTTTTCATACAGTTTTGACATAATAATTTTTTCTAAATAACAGTTTAAGAAAAATCATTCAAAAATTTTTTCATTATCATATACATTTTTATTATTTAGAGTGTTAATTTAGCAAGATGTATATAAAAATAAATAATTATTTTGTTATAACACTTAATAATAAAGAACTTATGTGTTATATAAATACATATATTTCATGTGATGTATGCCTCATTGACTCTATAATTACATTTATCGATATCACACTACTGCATGCTAAAATAATAATTGTGAAATTAATAAAGTTAATCATTAATGGAAAAGAAGAAACGTATGTAATAAAATAAAATCAATAAATAGTAATAGAATAAATAATTGCAAATTTAAAGTTATTTATTATTATCAACAATCTATATTATTGTCAACTATAAATTTGTGATGTGCAGGTATTAAATTTGTTGATTTGAAAGGCTTTATAAGCAAACCTTAGTTTTGTTCATACTTTATTGGTCTAGAAAATGCATGACATTTGTCGTGTATAAGTTCTCAAGAGAACCGAATTATTTTCCAGAACGTGTTGTAATGTACGGGTTGATACTCATCCTGTATATTTACGTCCTTCACGCTAGTCGTGCTCATGACGTGTACATTTAATTTTGTATTCCGTCAGAGCTACGTTCAGATACTAAATATTTATTGCTTTTTGACAAGATGAAAAAGTTTTTGAATAAATAGAAATCTGTTAGTATGAAATTTTAGGAAAAAAAAACATTAAAGAAGCTAAATAAGCGAGAAGGGAAAATTTTAAAAAATTCACTGTGCTTTTATCAATGATAGATTATATATATATATATATATATATATATTCTAAAAATCATAGTTTTATATTGATGATATTTATAACTAAAACAATTACAATAATAATAATACTAATAATATTCTAAAAATAAGTACTTTTATTTACATCAATGAATATCATTACAGATATTTATTATTGTAAATTAGTATAATCAGCCCAAACCTTATCGTATGTAACCGACAGTCGCCATATTACAACATACATTATTTTTATTTAATCTTACAGCTATCCTGGCGCCACGCAGGTATTCTGCAAGCCTCGCGTCGGGTCGAAGCCCTTAAAATACTTAATGGCAGCAACGCGCAGTCGCAGCTGTCAGCTCCGGCTGACCTAGAGGACAGCATCCGTCACCAACTGGCTACCGTAGGCGCACAGTCTGGTATCCGAGAAGTTGGCCACCAAGTTGTGACCCAACTGGACCGCATACTCTATGATTTTCCATGCCTCAAGTATAAGTCATCAATATTTTTATTATTAAAAAAACTACTCTTTTATCAAATGGAATAACTTCGCCCATCGATAGTTAAAAACTTTAATATTTCTTATTTATTTTCTGACTAGCAATCAAATATAATATCATGATTTAAACATATTAATTATTTTATAAGCTATATTTTCGTTGAATATAAATATACGTAATATATTTGATAATAGAACGTAATCTACCTAACGAATTCTACATTTTTTACAATTCTTCTTATTACAAATTAATTAATTTGAATAATATAATAATTTAATATTTTATTAATTTATAATAAATATATTTATTACCGATATAATTGTAATATTTGTTTATAAAAATAATGAAATGTAATATAAAATCAATCTAGTAATGAAAGCTTCTGCTACAAATAAAGCTAATAAATTTAATTTCTATTATGTGAAAAAACTGAGATAATATTCGATTACTTAGAGACTTGGGTATATTTTAATTAATTTTTTTCTATACACTTTATAATACAAAATTTTAATTCATCGAGTAAATAATTTTAATAAGAACATATTAGTAAAACAAATGATTATTGCTTAAATTCAAATTTATTAGTATAATAAAGTAAAATAAATAAATAATATAATATAATATAATTCTTATAAAATATAAATTATTCCAAATAAATGCATTATAAAGGATATTTTAAATGTTTTTTACTTTCTCTTCAAAGTCATATATTCTTTCAACTATTTCCGAATGAATATTTACTATTAATTTATTCAAAATCGATTTAATTATGTTAAATTACATTAAAAAAATTAAAATTATAATACTATTAAATATTTTATATTTTCATTTCTTAATGCAATATAGAACTTATTTTTATATGTACTACTATAAAGAATAAAAAATTTTAATAAGAAAAAATACTATTCATAGTCATACTCATAATATTATTAAGATATTGCATTAGTACTTTAATATCCAATTACTCTATGCTATTCTAATTACATTCAACCATTTTACATTACGGGCAAATGAGAAAATTTAATACCAGGCAAATATCATAATATTGTATATTAAAACTGAAAAGTATCATATTTATTTATAAATTTGGAGAATTACATGTGTGGTATAATATAAGATTAAATAAATAAGATTAAATACATTACCTAAATTATTTATTTCTTTACAACATTGAAATTATATAATTTTATATTTAAATACATCTTCAATTCTAAGTTTTATAAATAATAATTACAAAAGCAAATTCTTCTAATCGAATTTGTTCGAAATTGCTAATACAATACTGTTTTTTAGGAACAGCTCTGAAATGAAGAAGTATGCGTTATCATGTTCGCGACTGGCTTGGACTTGTTTATCTCGCGCAACGCCCCTTGTCCTCGACGACAATCGTAGTATCGAATTTAGGCGTGAGATACACGTCCGTCATCACTCTTCACCGAAACCGACAGGCAACCGAATTAAAGCCGTTCTATGGCCTGCATTACGAGAAGGATTACAAGGACCGTTTCTACATAAAGCCGTTGTACTTACTTATTAATCAGGACTTGTGTATTTAAGTTTCGTTTTATAAGGACGTTAAAAAGTTTAGTTCAATAACCTGCATTCCTCACTTAGGTGTGTTTACCATTACAGGAAAAGTATTTAAAACTTGAAAAAACACTGATCCTTAATTCATTTACTTTTATAAAAGATTAAAAGCTAAACTCAAATATAATATTAATCACGTTTTATTAAATGTATAATTTATTTTCTATCGTGACATAAATATTAATTTTAGCTATTTCTATTTCATTTTAAATAATAATGTAATTTTTAATGTCATATTATAATTTAAAGTTGTATTTTTACAAAATACTATATATTTTATATTATACATACAAATTATTTAGAATGATGATTCAAAGTAATGCTTCATGTATACAATTTAATGAGATACAATTATATTAAATATCTATTGCATAAGAAAGAGGAATACAAAGTATTTTTTAGAATATATAATTAGATATGAAATCAATCTAATTATATAAAATTATTATTGAAAATGAAAAATAAATTATTCGCATTAATTTACTTTATTATACCAAAGGAATAAATGAAATGTTAACAAACGAAAACCTTAAATGTATTAAAAGAGTCATCAAAATTCAATGTTTTGACATTAAAAATGTAAAAATAAAAAATATATAGTTTAAAGATTTATAGTTCACTGCATATTTCAGGATTAGTATAATTCATTATATTCAGATATTGTGTATATTTGTGTATATTTGCAACATTAATGATTTATTAAAGTTGTTATCTCTAGGTATAAAATTAATTGAAAATATTATTTTTAGATGTTATATAGTGTGATATAAATAAATAACAAATTAATAAATCTATCTTGTAAGTAAACCTAATTCAGATGTCAGTTTAGTGCATTTTTTTTAATTTTGATTAATTAATTTTTTTATGTTTAATCAGTAAAATATAATAGATAGAATAGATAAAATGAATTAATAGAGTTAGTTACATTTACTGAATGCTTAAGTCCTACAACGCAATTATATAATGATTAGTCTATATAATAATAATTAGGTGTTATAATAATTAATTATTATATATTATAATAAATAAGTATTCAGAAGAAAGTAAATATTTTAATTTACAAATATTTATTTAACTTGTGTTTTGTATAAATAAAAATACTATTGTAGTGGTAATTTCTAGTGATCAACGTATTTATACCTGCACATATCGTACATAAAACGAAACTGCTCATAAAATATAATACGCCAAAAAGGCTCTATCACAAAAAAATTTTGTAAATAAAAGAATAAGTAGAAATAATAAATTCATTTTAAGTTCATTTTAAGTAGAAATAATAAAATTGATATACGCATCACTTCAAATGTTTATATTTATTTCACTATTTATTTCAAATTGGCTGTTGTGCACATCAATTTATTAATAGTTTCCAGTTACAATTCCAATTAATAAATTATTTAACATTATTTTTAAATATATATATTTCAAAGTAGTTATTTTTCTTTATATTAGGTAGCATTCTACTTTAAATCCAAAGGATAAAAAAAATCAAATGGATAAAAAAATACTCAACGATTTTATCACTGACAATGCTCTTTTCCTATTTTGGAGACATTAACAAATTGTATCGTTAGCACTTATAAATATCTCCACTCGATAAATACGTATTATTTTACAAAACAATTCAACAAATTTCTAAAATACTCCAAACCATTTATATCAATTTTAATATTTTAAAATTATCATTATCTGTCTTTATAAATCTTTATAATATATATATATATATATATATATATATATATATAGACGGTTTCAAAGTTACTTTATATCTATGATTTCTTTCGAATACTACAAGAAAAGTACATTACTGGAAGTACAAAAATAAATAATTTTAATCTATTTCTATTAACCATAAATCATAATCAAATACAGAATGTAGCATATGATTACTTTTTTGTTCTTGTAGAAATTCTGAGAAATATAATAAAATGAAGTAAATATATATCACCATCGCCTGTTATATTAAAGAGCATATTAATCGCAAAAATCGACATTCAAAGAAATAAGTAATGAATAATACAATATCGCGATCACATAATAATAATAATAATAATAATAATAATAATAATAATAATTGTTAATATTAATACTGTGGGAATGCGAAGGTCTGAGATCTCGCGAGAAGTTGAGAAAAATTTGGGCGTAAATGTGTCCAGGTGAAAGGGTGTTCAGTAGGCAAAATGATACAATTCGTTAAAGACAATAATAGTCTTGAATTTTTTTGAAATTCACTTAGGTTACGTAGAACGTCCAACAGCACAAAAGTCAAAATGTCGAATTATAATAAGCATTGTGTAATAGATGTTAACGATGTTCTGAAAAATATTATTCATTATCTAAAGGTATAAATTTATACTAAATATTAGCATACGTGTTATCAAAAATGAAGGAAATATGTTTACAATAAATAAAAGTATTATAATTATTGATGTGAAAAATATAATGTTATTTCATATATACCTTAGTACATATATTAAATTTTGTATTATGGTAAAAGTATATTTAATGTCAGTATAATTATATGATCAAAATAATTATATTAATAGTACATTCAAATAGAATATCCCTTCTTATATTTGACATTAATACTTGAATATACACTACTAAAAATGATCAATTTTATATTATATGATGTATTATAAAGAATATAGGTATCAGTGCAATAAACATTTATTTTTTCTCTCTCTCTCTCTCTCTCTTTCTCTTTATATATTCATATACTCTCTCTTATATAAACAATTCACGTTTTTTTTTCAAAAAAAGTTTGAACTTCGAACAGAAGTTAGAAGTTTATATCGAAATTCTACGCGAACTATGGACAAAAAGTTCAATTATATATTGGTTTGTCTTGAGACTGGAATCTAGTTAAGGACGTACATGAGTAGGTAGCCTTGTTCTATGAAGTATCTGTATATTATATAATCAAAATTTCATAATGTCATTATAAGAATGGAGAATTCAAATAACTAAATTTACTACATGTATTATTTTCATAGTTGCATTAATAAATTTCACAATTACCGAAAGAATTAAAGAGTTACGAATACAAAAATTAAATTTGTTTTATTTGTAGAAAATATTGTGATATAAAATTACGTGTTTATCATAGCTATTAATTACACTCGTAATGAGAAAATATAAGTACTAGAACATAAGTACAATTACAAAAAATACAAAATTAATATTTCAAAAATTAATTAAAAATTTGTGCCTTTTATTTTAAATAATATATGTTTGTTTCAATAAATAAAATACTATTACTTGTATATTTATTTAAACTACAAATATTTTACAAATGAAATTTTTAAAATATCACAAAGTGAAATTTTTTAATTATAGTTTTGTAATATTGAAAATTTTAAATCAGATAAATTAGTTATTATCTATATTAATGCTTTATTCAAATAATTCTTTCTCAATTCCAATAGTTAAATAAATATTATAATTAAAAATAGCTACACCTATTAATATTTTTCATAAATTGCAATTATAGAAATGTTTCAATCCTTATTCTAACTTTAAATTTGATGTTTTTCTTGATATTATTAGATTATTCATTTAGTTTCAGAAATCATACTTATTTTTGTTCATTTTGAAATAATAATAAAAAAAATTGTTTAAAGAAGGTAAAAAATTTATTGTATGAAATTAATTATGCTTTAATACAATAAGAGCATTGTAAAAGTTTAAAATTATTTGTTTCTTTTTCACCGTTTTCAGATTATTTTTATTATTGATGTACTTTCATTTATTATTTTTCTTTTATACTGATTTTAAAATAATGAGCTTGATTTCATAAATACTAGCCATTTCTAATTTTTGCTACATATATAGTAATCTTAAGTTCATATTAAAAACATTTTCTTGTTATTAAAGTTTTTCTGTTTAGATATTTTTTATATAAAGTCGATTCTATTTTAAATTTCAATAAAATAAATATTATCATAAGTTATTATAATAAGTTTCTTGTGTTTGTGTGTCTATAAAACTGTTTATAAAAGTTTATAAAACGAACAAAACTTACTTAATTTTTAATGAAAAAATTTTGTTCATAAAAATATTCTATTAATAATCTATTCAATGTACAGATATTTTGTATAAATTAAAGTTAAGAAAATCACATTGTAAACATATGTATTTATAATCTTTTTTCTTTATATATGTTCATACACTAATAGCTTAATAATTTTCATTAAGTTACCTTTCAAATACGTAGAAGATTTAAAAAATTTGCTAACTTGACAAAAACAAAGCATATAGGAAAGGGATGAAACACGATTTTTAGTGTGCAATGGTGATAGAAAGTTTAAGTAGTTATTATATATATAGAACTACGTGACTGTAGAAATAAAGTTCGCGTTGAAGTAATAAACTAAATCATCCATTGGTGAAATGTTTTCTTAAGTTACAAAATAAAACAGTAGTTATTCAATAGAGCCATCACATAAGCTTACTATTAAGTTTAAAAATATTCAATTAAAAAATTGAAAGACTACCATAATTTGATTTCAATTTTATTGGATATACACAGAAATGAAAATATTATATATATTTTGTTTACAATTTTTTAAAAATCAGATTCAAATTTATATAAAATACCATATTCTGAAAATTATTTATGATAATTTTAACTAAAATGATTTAATAAAATTATTATACAAATATTCAAATATTATTAAAATATAATTTACAGAAACTTAATTTTACATTTATATTGCATATAACTTAGTATTGACATTAAAATAGCTAATCGCTTTTCTGTTATCTTTTGTCTAAAATAATTTATGAAGGTAATATGTAGAATATTAAATATATCGAAAAAATGTATTAGTTATTATTTAAATGATGAAACAAATATTGTATAGAATTAGGAAATAGCAAGCATAAATTAATACTAATTTTATTTTCTACTATTGAAGTATTAACTTTTTAAAATTACATAAGAAATAT